TTACTTATGTCTGCTCATTGGTCCTTCTAGACTAGTATTGTTGACTGACTGGCAATGCCTCCCCCCCCCCCCCCCCCCCGAGTTGATATTTTCTCAGAGCACCCTGGAGATACCAAGAGTTGGAGTTGAGACTTTTTTTGCAAATCATATATTCCAACTCTGACGTATGGGAAAGCAGAGATGAATATGTATGTGTGTAAGATTCAGGAAAGTCCACTTGAAGAAACATGTTGGAAAGTTAGCCACAAATGGTCACCCTTCTACTTTTAGGGTGATTTTTAAATATATCAAGCAATAATCAAGATAGTTGGGCTTCCATATAGCTGCTTCTCTCCCAAATGGTCATCCTTCCACTTTTGGGGGTGATTATTGTTCTATTACAGAGTGATAGACATACAGCTGCTTCTCTCCCAAGTTATCCATACACCTGTATTGTATTGCAGCTTATTTTAGACTTCAAGAGACTAATCATCCATGGGTCATCCCATCTCTCCAACTTAACTGTATGAGCTTATCGCACTACACTCTCAAAATGGGGCTAGATCACTTTAACTGCTTTGACTGCCTCCTGTTGCATTTTGGGGTTTGTAGTTCAGTGAGGCTTAAAGGCACTCTGGCTGAATATTCTAAATGCCTCTTCCTAAACTACACGATCCAGAATGCAACAGGAGGCAGCCAGAGCGGTTAAAGCGACCTAGCCCTGTTTTAAGAGTGTAGAGCAATTGTCTCCTTAGAGCAGAACTGCACAACTTGGCAGTAGGTAGGGGCCAAAATTAAAATAGGCTAAACTTATTTGGGTCACAGATAGGTTTTAAATATTAATTAATTAATAAATGTTAATTTAAATATTAATTAATTAATATTAATATTAATTCTGACCACCTCCTCCTTTGCCTGGCCCTTTCCTCGGGAGAAAACCGGGTGGTGGAGGAGCCTTGTAGGGAAGCATTTCTTGTCTTCCTCCTCCACCTTTTGGCCTCCTCCTCAGGAGAAAGCCGGGTAGTGGAGGAACCCTGAGGGGCAAGCCTTTGCCTGTCCTTCTCCTCTTCCTCCACCTGGCCTTCTCCTCAGGGTGTGTGTGTGGGGGGGAAGCAAAGCAACGGAAGAGCGTTGTGAGTGTTCACCCATCCTCAGCGTCAACCTGGCCATCTCCTCAGGAGAAAGCTAAGCAGTGGAGGAGCCTTGTAGGGCACATATTTGCCCATCCTTATCCTCCTCTGCTGCTTGTCCTCCTTCTCGGGAGAAAGCCGGGTGGTGGAGGAGCCTTGCTGGGCAGGCATTTGCCTATCCTCCTCCTCCACTATCTGGCCTCTCCTTGGGAGAAAGCTGAGCAGCAGAGGAGCCTTGCAGGGTGAATGTTTGCCATTCCTCCTCCTCCTCCATATGGCCCTTTCATCAGGAGAAGGCTGAGCAGCAGAGGAGCCTTGACGTTGTTCCACATCCTCGTGGGCTGCCCAAAACCCTTTGGTGAACCACATGCAGCCCCCAGGCTGTATGTTGTGCAGACCTGCCTTAGAACTTTAAATTCTTGAGGAAAGGTGCAAATATTTCATCACATAAAAGGTATGAATTAATTACAACATTTTAAAAAAATAAGATTTAGAAGTTTGGTGCTTGTACACCAGTACTCAAACCCCACTCCATGCTGTAAGATCAGCTTATGATCTCAAAGACACTGCACAGCCATTGTGTTTATATAAAGTGCCAAAAAAACAGTTAGTATATGGCAATTTCCTCATACTCCCCAAGAAGCTTCAAGAATGAAGAAGAGAACTGACTACAGCCCAGCCTCTCTCTCCACTGCCTCTTAATGGTTACGATGAAAGGGAGAAGAAAAGGAAGCCATTAGGTTTTCAAAGAAAAGTGGATGATCTCATTTTCTTATCTACAGGAATTGTGTTGCAGCGTGAACAGTCTAATGAGGCATAGTGTCAGCACTGACTATTCTATAGGCAGAATAATGCCTTTGTTCAGTATGTGCAGTAATGTTTTTCATACAGTGAAAGTACCCAGGGGAATTCCTCCTGTGATGAGGGAGGCAATGGCAAAGCATCTCTGAGTGTTCCTTGCCTAAGCGAAACCTATGAAGTCCATGGAGTCACCATAAACCAGCAACTTCTGTTGCTGCTCCTCCTATGATTTTGTTGTTGTGCACTAATCTCCTAATTTATGGCATGTAGTTTTCCTATCAAGCTTTGCACAAAGGGCATTTATCACTGTCTTCATTTGTGGTTGAGAGTGTGATTTGTTCAGGGTCACCTAGTGGGTTTCCACAGGTGAGGAGAGATTTGAACCTGGTCTCCTGGAGCCCTAGTCCAACACTCAAACCACTTCACCACACTGACTCCCCCTTCTCCTCATACCACTACACTATGATGGCATATTGTTCAGATGGTCCATTGCTGGAGGATATGTTGGTTTGGCTTAATGCTGATCAGAACATGTCTCTTAAAAAAAAACAAAGACAAAACACATAACTGCTATATTTTTATTGGTAAGCTCTGCACCTTCAAATACTTTATGCACCATAGTGGTTTCTGGGCAATGCTTTGAAGGTGAGAAGGCTATGTGTCCTGCTCACACACCTCCCACAATCAGTGAATGGAATGCTGGCATAGATAGGCCTTTGGTCTCATCCTACATGTTGATCCAATGTGGCTTTTCTTATCTAATTTGTGGCCACAATTCTAGATCACCTACTAAGCTAAGTGACTACCTTGGTTATGTAACTAAGGGCCTTTGCAGAGTGACAGAAATAATGCAGATTGAGGTCATTTTAACTGTTCTGGCTCAGTGCTAGCGAAACATGGGAATTGTATTTTTTTCTGGAACATTGAGCCTTCTCTGTCAAAGAGCTCTGGTGCCACAATAAACTACAGTTCCCATGATTCCTTAGCACTGAGCCAAGACAGTTAAAGTGGCCTCAATCTGCATTATTTCTGGCAGTCTGCAAAGACCCTAAGTTGTGTCTCCTGCCCTGACCCCCCACATTGTGGACTTAGCATGCAACTGCTGTTGTGAGCAACAGGGATACGTTCCCTTCTTGATCAGGATGAACCCATTTCCACCCCATCCTCCAAGTGATCTCCAGTGCTACAGTCAACAACACGATCCCTGTCATATTTCCCCCTCACACCATAGATCTCTTTGTGAAGACAATGGTGGAAACATCAATCCATTGTGTCCCAATCAGCAGTAGAACAGATGCCTGTCATTTTCAGTGGCTGCTGCCTGGCAAGTCTGGATTGGCATGATCCCTACATATGCCCTACTCAACTGAATATGTAGAGATTGTGATTATGACTTTGTCGTGAACGCATAACTAGGTTACTCCACATAACTTTGCAATTTTGAATTATTGGATTGCTTTATTGCTAAATAAAACATCCAAGTCAGATACAGCTTACAAAAATTATTTTCCTGTTTGTTACATAGTAGAAAAGATGGGTGGGAGGGAGATAGTAACACAGATGTGAAAGAGAAATAAGTCCATTTGGGTACCAGCTCTTAGAAAAAAGATTAAATAGAGTGGTCACAGAAGGAGGCAGTTCCAAGAACAGAGGAACCAGATGATTATTGGTCCCAAGCCATCTGGATGAATAGAACTTGGCTGTCAACCCAATTCATTTGCTTGCTGCCATACTCAAAGAACTTGGGGAATTTGTTGAGTCAGCCACTCTCTTTGGAGAAGGCATGCTGCTCTGTTTCTCACAAAGCCTTATCTCCATGACTGAAGCAGCTTCCAGCTTTTCTGTTCCAATTTATCTGGCATAAAGGATAGCTGGATAGTTTTGTAAATTCTCATATTCCTTCTGGATCCCTTTTTAAAAAATGAGTGTTGTGTTGGCAGCTGTCCAGTCCTTGACTCGTGCTGAACTCTAAAGAGGCTGATATAGTGAGCAGCTGCTTCCACAGCCTTGGGTTTCCATTTGAGTTCCTTAATGAAATATGCATGACATCAGAAATTATGTAAATGTTTAATCTCCTCATTGGCTCCAAAATTTCATTTCCTTCCACTTCTATTGGATTCCATTCTTTGCAGTCTAATCCTATACTGTTTATACTAGCTGAGAGGCTATAAGACTTGACAGAAGCCTTGCTACATTAGCTGAATGATAGATCTGCTGTACCCATGACAAATATGTTGGCTGAATAAATCCCTTCTTAAATTGGAATTCAGCCTTCAGGTTTGGAAAGGTTTCCCAACTATGGGTTAGAGTCTGCAGAAGGATTCAAAGTTCAGATTATAATGCTGATCCAAGCCAAACAAACAACCAGAGCTGGCAAGATAAGAGACAAATCTAAAACCTTGGCTGAACTCCAGTTATTGGTTCCAATCAGGCCACAGCCACTGAATCAATGAAAAATTGATTAATCATCACTTACATAAATAAACTAAAATGGCAATTAACTTTAACTGGCACTAGTGGCAGCTGGTGGCTTCCATGACAATGGGGAGATGAAACTGTTGAATGCTATCCTTATCCTCCAAACAGGTTCAGCAACTTGGATCAATCCTTTAAAATTCAGAGTAATCCTAGGGCTGGTTTGATTACACAGGAACCTCCAGCTGCCACTGGTTGGGACTAAGAATTTTTTGTTACAACAACATAATGAATTACACACAGAAAAAGGCAGTGACAGTTCATTAAAGCAGCATGACACTGCAATCATCTACTTCCCAGCATGTTAACCAACCCATCTGGCACCAGGAGAGGTTTCCATATATCAGTATAGTCACAGAAGTGAAACAGAAGGAGAAGAGAGATAAAAAATGCATGCATTTTAAAAAAGAGAAAATGGAGAAGGAGCATTCAGTTCTCTTGCTCTAATAGTTCCACTGGCTGTTGGTCTGTTTCTGGACACAATTTAGTTCAAAGACCTATATGGCCTAAGTCTAGGCTATCTGATAGACCATAGTTTCCCATATGAGCTTAACTGAGCCCTGAAATTCCTACAACAAGCCCTACTTTCAGTATTGTCACCTTCATAGATTTTAAGGGGATGTAGCTTAGCGGTAGAGCACATCATTTGCACAGAGATGGCTGCAGGTTCAATTCTTGCCATCTCTAGGATTGCCTATGCACTGCAGAATTAATACAGTTTCACACCACATTAACTGCCATGGCTCAATGCATTGGCATCCCGGAATTTGTAGTTTTACAAGGTCTTTAGGGGCTGGGTGTTATCAATATGCTGATGACACCCAAATATATTTCTCCATGTCTCAGTCAGCTGCTATGATGGCAGATGGCAGTTCTCCCCTCAATCAATGTCTAGGAGTGGTAATGGACTGGATGAGGAAAAACCGATTCAAGCTGAATCCAGACCAAATGGAGGTACTTACAATAAGGGTCCCCAAACCAGGTATTGGGTTGCAACCACCAGTCCTGGTTTGGGTCATGCTCTCTGCCAAGGACTGTGCTTGCAATCAGGGAGTGCTCCTGGACTCATCACTTCACATGACAGATCAGGTGAATGTGACAGTCAGAAGCGCCTGTTATCAGCTTCGGCTGATACGCCAGCTGCACCCTTTCCTGGAAGTAAGGGACCTAGAAACTGTAGTACATGCACTGGTAACCTCGCAACTTACTTCTGCAGTGCACTCTACATGGGGCTATCCTTATACCTAACTTGGAAACTACAACTAGTACAAAATATGGCAGCCTGGCTGATCACCGGAACATCAAGGAGTGATCATATTACACCTATTCTGAAATGGCTGCCTATTGGTTTCCGAGCACAGTGTAAGGTGTTGGTGATGAACTTTAAAGTCTTACATGGCCTAGGTCCAACCTAGCTAGGGGATCACCTTCTCCCACATAAACCGCCTCACACCCTCAGGTTCTCTGGGAGGAAGCTGTTTCAACCAATGAAAACTAGGCAGGCAGCAACCTCCCAGAGGACATTTTCCGCTATCGCACCCAGACTCTGGAATGCCTTGCTGGAAGAGATCCGCCAGATAACCAACTTAGATGGCTTTAAAAAAGCCATCTAGATGGATCTCTTCCAGCAGGCCTACCCAGAATAAAACTGCTCATTTATCTTAACCTCCCCCCATTAGACATTCTCTTACATCCGCGCCTTACCCAGAGAGTTTAGTGAAAGTTACTGTTTTTAATTTGTTTATTATTTAACTTTAGTTTTTAACTCAGACTTGTATTTAGTTCATTTTTAAGAGGGGGTTCATAGTGTTAGTTTATTGTTTTGTAACCTATTGTAGGAATTGTTTTATGTATTGATTTTAGACGTAAGCCGCCTTGATGGCTACAGCTAAAGGTGGGGTATAAATAAATTACTATCATCATCATCATCATCATCATTATCATTTAGACTTCTCTGCCAAAGAATTCTGGTGAGTCACAAAACTACGAATCCCATGAATTTGTAGGATGCAGCCATAGCAGTTAAAATGGTGTCAAACTTCATTATTTCTGCAGTGTGGCAGCAGCCTGGGCTGTTACCCTGAAAGGTAGAGGGAAATTGGGTCCTCACCAGCAGTGCCAGTATCTCCTTGAAATTTTCGGAAAATTATATCTCATAAGAAAGTCTGTGAAAGGAGCGTAACTTTGGTGCTCTTTTCACCTATGTCTACCAGAACTTACTTCAGAGAGCAGTCCAGTTTCTGTAAATAGAAAGGTTTTATTTAGAAATGTGCGAGATTGCATGCAAACATACAAAACTGATGCAACCGCAAGAACCACACAAGGCTATCAGAAAGAAAGGTGTGGAAGATTGGATAGGGAGGTATCAGGAATTACAGAGGGGAATAATTACTAGTCCTGAAGAGAGGTCCATGGAAAACAGAGGGTGGCACACAGTGCATCTGAGAGTTACACAGAGAGAGTGGAACAACCTGGCTAGGACTGAGGGATACGTATACCTCATTTAGGACCCTCAAAGGGTTTTTAGTGTGTTGACACAGGTCTTGATGATTTTCCCAAGGGTTTGAAAAAAAAAGGGTCTGGAATAGCTTGATAGATTTAACTCTGGAGTGACAAAATACTGATTAGATTTGAGACATGAGACCATGAGTCAACAGTGCGATGCAGCAGCTAGAAGGGCCAATGCGATTCTAGGCTGCATCAATAGAAGTATAGGTTCTAGATCAAAGGAAGTTATACTACCACTCTATTCTGCTTTGGTCAGGCCTCACCTGGAATGCTGTGTCCAGTTCTGGGCACCACAATTCAAAAAGGATATGGACAAGCTGGAGTGTGTCCAAAGGAGGGCAACTAAAATGGTGAAGGGTCTGGAAACCAGGCCCTATGAGGAGAGACTTAGGGAGCTGGGTATGTTTAGCCTGGAGAAGAGATGATTAAAAGGGGATATGATAGCCCTGTTTAAATATTTAAAGGGATGTCATATTGAGGATGGAGCAAGCTTGTTTTCTGCTGTGAACAGGACATAGATTTGCCAGATTTGGTTTTATAGTATTCTATTTGTGAATTTGATTTTAACTTTATCTTAGTTTAATTAATCCTGTTTTAAGGGGTGGGAGGGTTAGGGGTGGGATGATGGAATGTTTGAAACTGCTGTCCTTTAATTTGTTGTACGCCGCCCCAATTGCCGAGCAGAGGGGCTGGTTATAAATTAAAAAATATTATTTATTATTATTATATAGAACAATGGATGTAGGAAAAGAGATTCCACCCCAACATTAGGAGGAATTTCCTGATAGTAAGAGCTGTTTGCCAGTGGAACACACTCCTTCAGAGAGTGGTGGAGTCTCTTTCTTTGGAGATCTTTAAACAGAGGTTGGATGGATATCTGTTGGGGGTGCTCTGATTGTTATTTTCTGCATGGCAGGGGGTTGGACTGGATGGCCCTTGTGGTCTCTTCCAACTCTGTGATTCTATGATTAATCCCTTAATGGTCAGGCAGCCAAGGTGAATTGGAACTTGTCATGGGATGAGGTAAAGGGTATGGGCTCTGATTTCCTTGTGATGAGACTCCCTTTGCCTCCATTGTGAGAGAAATGCAAAGAACCTGTGTGGTATGAAGTGCTCAGCAAACCCATTTCCTTGTGTCTAGATCTCTTGCATGTCCTCAAGTCAGCGTGCCTCCTACATGTGTAACTTTCCATTTTTCCACAGGTCATCGCAACCCCAAAACATGCCCAATGCTAGATATTGATTATGAAACCCTATGTCCAGTGGGAGGGTTGTAGGCTGTGCTAACAGGGCCTAAATGAGGGGTAGGCAACCTAAGGCCCGGGGGCCAGATGCGGCCCCC